AACCCCTGACACTCGCTCTGCCTTCAATTGGTAGATATTGTCACGCATGGTAAACTTCAACGAAATACCTAGCTTTGAAAGCCAAACTGACTGCAGATCATCTGAACACAGCAACTTGTACTTCCCAGCCGTCTGCTGGTGACCCAGGCTGATAATGTTCACCTTTGCATTAGGAGTGTAGACATGTCCTCGAGGAGGCGATCTTCTTGTTCTCCAGTTGCCTAGCTTACAATGCGTAGCAAAACAGATCCACACATAGTTGCATGTTCAGATGTTCCATTGCAAAGTCAAGCCGACTGGTGCGGTCTTCTCGAATGGTAGTAAATAGAGACAAGCCTCCACAGACATTCACCTGAGAGCCGGAATCCAAAATCCACTCCACCCAATCTGAGTCATCAGATTGCTTTCCTTGGTTTCGACCAACAGCATTCACCTGCCGAATTCCACCGGCACCATCATTCCCACGATTTTTGCAGCGACGGGACGAGTTTCCACGACGACTTGGCGACAAGTTCCGACGTTGGTAATCGTCTCGACAAAAACGATCATTCAGTAGTGGACCACGCGCAGGTGATGTTCCACTACGCCACGGCTCTTGCGGCTGGGGGCCATAGTGACTTGGTGGCTGGTTGTTTACTCGTGGCTCACGATGAGCAGATCAGTTGCGACCACGCGGTGGTGAACACCAACGCAAAGGTGAACGCATACGCCGCGGTGATCTTCCTCTCGGTGAACGACTTCTTCCAGGCTGCGGTGGTCTTCCTTGCTGGAGGTTCCGGGGCGGTGAGCGACCCCATCTACGTTGAGGTGGCTTTCCTCGTTGGAAGCTCCGGGGAGGTGAGCGGCTCCACCCACGTTGCGGTGATCTTCCTCGTTGGAAGTTCCGGGGAGATGAGCGGCTCCATCCTCGTAGTGGTAGTCAGCTCGTCCTTGTTTAAATCCACTGCGTCCTAGCTCATAAGGACTCATGTTGGACTGATATCCACACCCGTAATCTTTTCAGGTCCTTGACGTCCACGTTGCTCAACTTTAGGTCCACCATGATCATCCCCCGGCACAGGTGGACCCACTTGTAGTCCATCTTTGCTGTACCATAGTAAAAATTAGGTCCTTGCGAGCTCTGCATCAGTCCTTGACCCAGGTAATACAGTGCAGTTCCTAAGGCAAGAGGTGGACCAAGCGACTGGACACTCTCCCACTGGCTTTGCATCGCCGCTGGCACAGCAAGTTGCACCTCTTGGTGTCCTGTATGTACTTGTCCATCCTTTTGTTCTTGTTCTCCACCTTGTATATGGTTAACAGGAGCTCTCAGCTGCAGTTGTTGCGGTGTCGTTGGCACGTTCGGGCGTACTGCATGTGTACACGTGGACTCGAGTCCGACTGCCGACATATTCACCTCTCCAGTCAGATTCTCATCTCCAGCCTCACTGCTCGCAGGTCCTGTCGCGGAATACACGGGAGACACGTGTGCAGCCGACGCCCCCCACCATTGTTACCCTCGTAATTTGCCAGTCTTGTCGTCGCACACAATGAGAGACCCGAGAACAGGGCTCGTTGCTCACTGTCAGACTGGGTAACTCCAACTCGTCTCACCGAGTTAATGAGAGAAGCCGGAGACTTCTTGTACTTCAACTCGTCCTTCAGTCTCTTGATAAAATCAGGTCTGAGTTGCATACCAGTCCGCGCAGTGCATTCCGCATACCATTGGCCATCTCCATTGCAGTTAGCACAAGCCGTGTGCTGCTTCTTCTCAGCTCCAACCTTTGCTTTCTAACGCTGGGACTTCCCGCGTTTCTTTCCTGATTCTCATCCACTTCCACTGTTGTGTCCATGTCCGTGGCCTTGAACCTGTCCTCGTCCTTGACCAGTACCAACCTGCGCGACTTGCATCGTCCGCGTTGTAGGTCTGTTCGTTTGCTGTTGAAGCGAATCACGCTGATGTTCAGCGGAGCGCAGGCGCTACAACGCCTCAGACAGCTTTTGGACTCGTCGGTCATGTTGGCTAATCCAGTCTGCGTGTTCACGCGCGAGATCACGAAATACCAACACGCAGTTTGATAGAAGTAGGCTTGCATGTTGCCATAATTCAATTCACCATTTCCTTGACGCAGAAGTGTCACCTTTCGTCCGATGTCCTCCACATACGCTGTAACGGACTCGTTCAATTGTAATCGGCGAGTCACCAAGTCCTGTAGCAAGTAGTCAGGATTGATGCCGTCTCCAGCCTCCAAGTGTTTAGTAATCGTTGAATACAGCATTGTTGCCGCATCCATGCTGTCTCTTATCTCGTCGATCTTGAACGTAACTCGTAAGTCCACAGATAGAGATAGGGCGAACGCGGAGAACGCCTTGTTCTTTTGCGTCGCAAACCACTCATGATACTTGGGGCGACGTAGACCTTCCTCTTCGTCATATCGCTCTCCTCCCTACGTAATGTCGCCCAGCGAGCGCGTTTTGAAGTGCAACGGCACCTCGCTTCGCCACGCCTTGTAGTCTTCTTTCTTATGAAGCTTAGGCAGCACGACGATAGCAGAGTTGCGCAACGCCTTGGTGTGATCGGACAGCTCCTTGTCATCGTACCGACCACCAGGGTTCATGTTGTCCAAGCTGCTCTCTCCTCGGCTCGTGTAGCTTCGTCTACTGCCAGCGGATCCTTGGCTCGACGGTGGCGGTGGCGGAGGGGGCGGGGTTTCAGCTGGCTCTGTTTCTTCGATTGTGTTATACCTTCGAGCAACACTCGTAGCAATGGGCGCCCACCAGTAATTCCGACCAATGAGCGAATTAGTCGCTCAGCATCAGACTGCGATAATGTCGCATCATCCGGACCATTCAGTCTTTCGACCAATCCCGGGGAGTCTTCTCCTTGATTCGTCAAAACTTCTTCTTGTCTGTTTTCCACACCAGAGTCCACGTCAGTCGATCGCTGCGCCCTGATTGGGCTCATAACCTGAGGTGACGCATGGCGCGTCACCGGGTTCTCCGACCTTCTACCACTACGTAGAGTAGGTGCCATTGGCACAGACTTGTAGGGCAGTAGGCGTAGAGCAATAGGAATTAGAGTGTAGGACACGTGAGTGTCGGGAAAAGTACCACGACAGGACCACGGAGTTCTGGTGCTTGCTGCCTCTCACTCGATGTGCGCGCAGCACAGCAAAAGCAGTTGTGAGCGAGAGCTGCTAAGCACCTGAGCCTCCATGTTCCGCAAAGTTAGATTAGCACATACTCAACCTAAGATAGTCGATAAAAAGCTTAGTATTTCACCATCACCTGCAACGCAGTTGCAGTTGCTCACCGCCACCAATGACGTCCTTCATACAGTCCTTGGTATCTTCCGCACGCAGCTCGCACGTGAGCGCGTTGCAGACCGGTACGCAGGGATGCAGTACAACTGCATAGACACGCGTAGGATTGTAGGTCGGATCGGTAGTACTGGTATTGCCAGTGTCTTGGGCTGTGGCAATGACGTCTGGCACTGGACACTGGCAGACTGTAGCAAGTAGCATCTCACAGTAGCAGGATAGCATCTCACATTTAGCACTTCCGCGTGGGCATGGCGCCACGCTCGGCGCAGGCCCTCAGCCTGAGCTCTCACGATGTACAATCTATCAGATGGGTAAGTATGAATTTAGATAGGTTTATTAGAATAAATTAGTGTGGTGCTTGGACACAGGTACCGGCAATTTATTTGACTACCATGTTCAAGAGCAGAAAATATCGGCAGCCAAAACACAGATATTTGGACAGAGCTCTTAAAACAGCTACCGGTACCTAAATAAATTTGGATCTACAGTACTAACGGACAGGTATTACAACAACACTTATAATACGTGTACTAATACAGTCGTGCACCTCGTCTTCGGCCCCGGTATGGCTTAATAACCTGGACAATCTAATGATTGCGCCACATGCATTGCGCAAATGAGTTGCCCATCTCCTTTGGACCAAATAACCTCAATGGTATTCCCCTCCTTGAGGAGGGATGAAACGCCGCACTTCCGCCACGATGTATCAGCTCAATCACTTCACCATACAACAGCACATTATAAATTTTGTCGCAAAACGCCATGGCACGTCGCCCATCCGCCTATTCTACGCTGAATCTCGCCAATAAGCAAACATTGTGCAGGAAGGCAGCCACAGAGCCATCTTGGACGCTGTCTCAGCTCACTCAGTGGGCCACACAAGAATTTCAAGCCCGCGTAAAGCACTCCACCCTCCAAGGCATTCTAAAGCGTCCCGAATGCTCACTCTCTCCGCAAAAGGTTTTGCACGGCCTCGCAGCGCTCGTCCGACGAGTATCTCATGAAGCGGATCGAGGCCTACAAGCGATGGCACGGCAACGCCACCGCCACAGGTGCCATCGTCACCAGCATTGCCTCGCGTGAAGGGATACAGCTACCCAGCGCCACCAAGTATTGTGAGTGGCTGAAGCAGCTCAACGAGAGCATGGCAGATCAACAGCGGCATGTACTGTTGCTCGTAGACAACGTGTCGTCTCATAACGACGAACCTGTTGAGTTAACTAACGTCGTTGTTCACAAGCTTCCTCCCAACACAACCGCTGCCTTGCAGCCAATGGACCAAGGGATTATTAAATGTCTCAAGGACCACTACCGTGCTAAGAAGCAGGAGGCCGAGCTGGACATGTTTTACAAAGGCGAGAAGTATACCCCCATCAATATTTATACAGCGATGAAGTGGTGCTCAGAAGGTTGGCAAGACGTATCGACAATGACCATACGAAACTGTTGGAATCACACTGGTATTGTGTCGAAGATGGATTTGAGATTTGTACTTAATTAAGGTAATACAAAGTAGTACATTTGGATTCCATCTGTCCCTCTATAAATTTTCGCAGCTCGTAGACAGTATATGGTCCACCCCGCCGAATACGAGGTGCACGACTGTACATGTAACGTTGCAGTAGTAATGTAGTGTAGTACGTGAATCTGGAGGTTTAATTTATTAATAACTGTAGCTTTATTAATACTTAACCACCTCTAGCTGACGAAGACTCTGCCGCTAAGACTGAGGAGCAGACCTGGGTTCTCCATGAGAAAAATCTGCAGGTCGTGCTTCTGGATAACGAAGACAGATCCTGCACGTGTACAGACCAGCGACGTCGCGTGCGTTGTGTCCTCCGCGGACGTGAGTCGATCCACGTCGCCAGCGAAGCCGCCATGGCTGAGTGTCACCTCCTGCAGCGCATCACAAGTTTTGCTGCTATTGCTGTTTGAGGTGCTGCTTACGAGGCTCAAGTCCATCGGGATTACTCGCTACATTTTTTTAAACACGAATTAGTGCCGGGATACTCTCAGCGGCTGGACAGACAATGCACGTACGTTTAGCGATTTTCTAGTGATGAGCGACAGAGTTTGGCCGGGAGACGATGGTCGTGACCGTGACGGACCACTGGCTGAGTTGTTCCTTACGGGTGAGCTGGAAGTCGAAGATACCGGTGCAATCTTGAGTAGGAACTGCCCCTTGTCGACGATAACGGCGCTAGAGCATTTGTCCCCCAAACTCCAAAGTATCTGCCCCTCGGTCACGTCGCGTGGGCGCAAAATGATCTCAAGCGCAGTCCGTTGAGCAGATGTCAGTCGTCGAAAAACCTGGTTACTCTCAACGATGTCGTAGGAGAAGTAGAGTCGACTCTGCGCGAGCTGCTGGATACGCTCGAAAGAAGACGTACGTCGTAGGAACCAGTTAAAATCAAGAGCATTGAACTCGAGCAGTGACAGCTTTGTGCTTGCTACCATATCAAACGGAAGCGCCCAGTTCGGAGTCAGCAGTGACTGAAGATCAAAGTAGTCGCCTGGTCGGTACTGCTTCGCCAACGACAGCATGGACACTCGCCGATGTGTACTGTTCTCTCGGCCGCGTGCTATCGGTTTAGGGGTATTTTCAAGTGGCAAAGAGTTAACCACTGCACCCTCTGCTGTCGGCGGTGACTCCTTCTTATACACAGCCTGAGCTTCCCCCACGATAATAATGAAGAAAGTATCACCCACGTTACCCATCCTGCTAACAACGGCACCTTTAGCATACTCCACTTTCCGGGCCATCTGCAGGATCTCGTACGCATGGTTAAGTGTGAGCTCAGCAAACAGATCCACTTTCCTAACGAGATCTAGGATCTCCAGAGCCCCTGCATTCTCTGGTAGCTTAGGTACGTCAAGCGTGATCGTATTATGAACACCTTCAGGTGCACCACGGAGCCCACAGTTATCGGGTAGATCCTTGGCCGCCGTGTGCACCACGTACACTTTTTTTCGGACGACATCATCAAGTGCCATGAGCGTTTTCAGCGGTGTGTGGATAGGGGGCACACCTGCTTCGTGCAAGATAGCGTCGCAGTGCCAGGGAAAATTCAGCAGCTCGTGAGCTCGGGCAGGTGAAAGAACACCTTCACTTTCGAGCTGGTGGATCTTGTCTACGTCGTTAAGGTGGTCACCGGAGAAAGCGATCTTCTTGTCACCGTATGTAACCTCAAAGCCTACGCACGGGATAGAGTGCAGCGAGTAAAAAAAGCGGAATTCAGCACCGCGGATCTGGGTCAGGTCATTGATACGTACAAGACGATGGTCGAGTACACGTTCCAGAAAACTGGGCTCGAAACCTGACAGAGCCGAGTATTTGCGCAGGAACGACCGATAAATAGTGTCTGTGGTGATGAGGGCGACGCGACCTTCCTGCAAGATCTTCTGAAAGGTGCCTGCATCGTGATCAGCATGGCAATGCGTAAGGATAACACCGTCGATCATGAGCGCTGGAATATTGTTAGCGCTCAAAATGGACGACGAAAATGGCGGTGGATCGATCATAATGCCACGATGGTTGATCCAAAGAACATAACCAGAGGTTTTGCCATTAGGATCGAAGCCGTGCGAGTTGCCTAGCACCGTCACACCAAATGCCGGCGGGTAGAATGAGTCGAGATGAGAAATTAACGCATTCGCTGGCGGTGGTGGGAGATCGACGGCGTCTTCTAAAGTCACACTTCCGTGTTCTCCGTCAACGATAGTAAAGCATCCGTTCCCCTTGCGAATTATAAGTGGTGGGGTATCACTGACTGCTCCAGGTTGCGTTACTATTGCTTCACCGTTGGCATCGAAGTGGGTGAAGGTTAAAAGCATGTCAAGCGTAATGAGGGTGTCACCGAACTTACGAAAGTACTCGAGCTCCTTTCTTAAGTCAGGGAACTGTTCCATAGGCGTAGCTTGGGGGAAGTCATTGCGTAAATCAAGATCCGCGGGACCGAAAAGCGTCTCCTGAAATACCTGGCGGATTCGTGATTCTACATCAGCTGAAGTCACAATGAGGTTTACACATTGTCGCTTGAAGAAGAAGTTGCAGTAGGCCGGGAACTCAAATTCGGCCACATTGACGCCCATATTGGCTCCTAGGGTCTTAGTGAAGGGCTCAGATGGTACGATGTAGTGTCGTGGTACAGGAAGACCGAGTTTCATGGAATCCTTGATTGTTTCGGGGGGCATTCCGAGCTGAACAGGACCGATAGACGTACAGGCTACGACGCCCCCTCGGGGAAGCTTAATAGTCTCCAACGTTGGACCAGTGGTTGGTTTCGAGAGGCTACCATCCTCCCCTACTAAGCTCGTCGTCATGGCGTGGGACTAGAGGTGGGTGGGTTCCTTGCACTTGCTTAAAAGGTGTTTGCGGTTGACCCTCGTTGTCTTGGCGATGGTATTACTGCCGTCACACAGATGAAAGGAAGTATAGATGCCTGCCTACCTGTGCGCGAAAATAACAGAGAACTCTGAAACGGAGCCTACTGCGCGTAAAAATATCAAGCTGCAGCTTGAAACAGCCTCGGCTTTACAAGCAAGGCATATATCAAGTTGCTGCTAGAAAGAGTCGCAGGCATTAGAAACCCGGAATGACCCACGTCTTCTGGTTGCCGTCTAATGCTTTAATTAGGGTGGGTACCCCTGCGTTACCAGCGGTTGAAATGCTCAAGGCGACGAAATAGTAGAATACAAGTGGATCTTGCACCGAAGGTGCCTTCTCAAAAAAGTTGTCATTGATTTCTGCCGCCCAGGGACGTCTCATGCATACCATAAAGTTGAAGTGCCTGGCCTTCAGCCAATCATCGTTTCTGCCTCGGTCGACTCCAATTAACAACGAATGTAGCTAGCCTCCTTGGTAATTATTCCGCAGAAGGGGATGGTGTGATCAGCGGATTTAAAATTCTCCAATCAACTGCAAGCTCTAAATTTGGAGACAACCACAAACACACGCATCACAGACAAACATCTCCCTCCTTCCCCCAACTAGACCCCAAGCAGCGGTGCAAACTGTAGCGGCATAGTGGCAGTAACTGGATGGCCAAGTGAGAGCTAACAGAGGCGAATGCATGTGCTGATACGGTGCCAATAAATGGTTGATATTGTGAAGGTACATGTACTGACAAGGTTAGCTACGGGCTGGCAATACTACGGTCCCGAATGTGCCTCTCCTTTGGCGAAAACTTACCGTTCTGCCACAGATTATGCCATATCTGTGCAAACGTCATTCCTTCGTTTGCTGGATGCCCTCGGACTTTGTTGCAAAGCGTCACCACACCCTTCTTGTCCTCCGAACACTTTGGGCAATAGAATGTCGATGTTCCCCCACGCCGCTTACCTTCAGGCTTGTAGCAGAAGCAGACCTTACACTGGCGCTGTCTCAGCCCCTGGACACCGTTGTTCATGCGCGTATCTGCCATTTGAACTAGTGCATGCCCGCCATGTATGGTAACTTGTTCAGTAACTGTAGTAGTAGGTCGAGATAATCCGGTTGTCTCTGTAAATGCTGTCTGTGTTTGGAGGATAAGTTGCTTGTGCATTCTTGCCAAGAACACGTAATGCGACATCTTCTTCTTGCTCTGTTTTTCCACAACAGCGAATGTACAATGTACGCGTTCACCATAGCCATGTCTAATAGCCCAAGGAAAAGACTCTTGTAGTATTCTAAAATCTGGTATACCGAACATTATAAATTAGAGACCATAAGTTGACATTGTCAGGGTAGCATTTACCTTGCTGCTAATTGCATAGAGTACGACTGAGGTCGCAATTGATCATGGCGATCAGCACCACCCATGAAGCGCTGGTATTCTGCAACAATCCCCGGGCATGGAGCAGTGCTCTGCTCTCCATTTTTTTCACGGCACTGAACACTCGTCATCTCTGTTCCAACTTGGGATGCCAGGAAGTAAACCGATCTGTTATCAGCCCAGCCCAGCGCCACTAGACCCGGATTGCTTTTAGCGATCGCTATTTTGAAGGAGCCCCTTTTAAAGTTTGCTGGTCGCTTCTTGAAAGGAAACCTAACCCCTTTACACCACCCTTTTCGATTCTTTTGTGTAGTCCCAACGAAATTGAAGCCCATAGTCCGCAGTTGTTGCGCTAGTGGCACAGAAGTATAAAACCGATCTGTAACCACGAGGCGCCTTCCTTGGTAAGGGAGTCCACGGAAAACACTCGCAATATTTCGTATGACGGCCGCCGGGCCGCTCTTTGTGTCCATCGATTGAGCACCCTCCTTGTCCTTCTTTCGTCCAACGTCGACTTCAACTCTGTCATGCATCAAATAATATATTCTAAGTCAGCATAGCTTCAATAATTTATCGTGACTATGTCAGCATTACCTTTTGCAGTAGCCCGACTCGGCGCAGCACGTCATGACGCACTTGGTTACCCACTTATGAGGCTTGTCCTTCATGTACATGCGTGTCGGATTACGCCGATTGAACGAAGGTAACATACCTTCATCAACGGCCACTCTTGAACCCAAGACATACCCCTCCTTGAATGTGGTTTCCACCGCTGCCAACACCGAACGAATTTTCCAGCCCCTATCACTAGAAGCCGCAGGATCTTCGTTGTCAGTAAAATGCAGAAATCTGGTAATGAGCTGAAAACGGTCTCGAGACATAGCTTTTCCAAATGTTCCTGCAGGAATTACACCATCCTCGGCCATATTCCAGTGCATCTCAAACGACTTTCGAGGACTCAAGGCATGGGCCAACATCAGCCCAACCCATTGAACAACTTCGTGCGGCAGAATCTTATCCAATTTCATCCGGCGCTTTCTCAGTTTTTCTTTATTCTTCTGAAGCCGGTACATCACCTTTCCTTCTTGCTGTACCATTTTCTCGAGGCGTGCTTGAAGCGTTTGCTTCCAATACCGGTTAGATTCGCTTGCAACATGCCGCCAGAACGATTTGGGCAGGAAATAGTAGAAGAGGTCGATAGGTGACTGTGTAGCAGCTATGACGCCTTGTGAGGACCCACAGTACCCGTCGTACATCTTGTCTACACCAGCATCATTAGTGACAGGCGTTGTTGTATCGTCCGGTAGAGCAGTCCAGCCATCTTGTGCCATGGCAGCAAGTTGAGTGTTGTCATAAATCTCAGACGACCCTGTCAGCATAATGTCCGTTAGATAAACTCTCCTGGGCTCCACAACAAAAACAACAATACACACCTTGAACGCGCAACCGCATATCATCAATTTCAGCTGACTTCTTAAGGCCGATCATACGACTGACCTCTTCTGCGACTGACTCGTTTGTATCTTCAGTCTCGCTGGATTCTTCATCCACAAATGTTCCAGCGGTCTCCACCAAATTATCACTCCCTTCTCCATCCGAATCTAGAAAATCTTCACCTTCTCCCAATACGAGGTTTGGATCAGTGGCTTCCATCACCGCGAATTCGATTCCTCGAAATTGAGACAAACTGACTGTTGCAGGCGGAATCGTCACTCCGTCGTCGTCTCGGGTCGTGTCGCCAGTATCACCTTCAGACTCAGAATCATCCCCATCACTCTCATCGAAAACGTAGTCACTGTTTTCGCCATCGCTGCTACCGGCGATGACTAAATCCACATCACCATCCATATGTCCGACTGGAGATTTATTGGCATCATCAATAGCTACAATAACCCACACTTGGAATTAGCAAACCTATTCGTCAGCATATAAAAAATCAGCAATGCTTTACCTGGAGGGTCAGAATAAGCAGATGCTACCAAGTCAGCATTAACATTTTCTGTATACACACCACGTCAGCGTATGATCAAGTCAGCATAAAAACAGTCGACTATACCTGTCGTGTCAGCGTTAGCTTGTCCTCCGTTGTCAGCATTATCTAAAAATCATTACGACAGTGTCAGCTTAGCATAACGTCAGCATTTATCGGGTTCTTATACCATTCTTGTCAGTGCTCATGGAAGCAGGTTCTTGATTTGTCTGAGGGGGATCTGCACGAAGTCCATCGTTTGCTACAAATACCCAGCTAGATCTTTATAGGCATCAGCACTGAAACGAAGCGGTACCTTGGGCGTTTTCGCCTCCCCACACTCTACCGAACGACGAGAGCTCTTGACGGCGATCTGCTGCTTCTTTGTCAAGCTGCTTCTTCGTCATCTTCTTCGTCTTCTTTGTAGAAGGCTTTGCGGCCTTCTGCTCTGTAGATGTCTGTTTCACGCGTTTCTTCGCCGGCGCTTTACCTGACGCAGGAGCATCTCTCTTTGGCGCAATTGCAGCCTCGATTTCGGGCGGATCAGGTACTGGAGTGGGAGAGTCTGACGCAGCAGCGCCTATAGTGCTTTGGACTCAATTTCAATACAAATAGTAAGTCACTTTTGTAAACACATAGCACCTGTACATGGTATATCCCATATCCCCTAAGTGAACTCATCCTCCCTTACCACTTGGTACTGTCGCTAATTCGGGATAGTGACCCCTTGCTTGATCCATTCTCTTATTTCTGAGAAAGCACTTCGCCACAACACTACCCCGACTTTATTGAGCAACATACATGATTGCAGCACAAACGTGTATTGTTGGCCGCTCCAATAATGCCCATACGCGATAGCGAGTGACACCTCCTCCGGTGAATAGGTTTAGCTTGCGTCTATCCAATATACACGATACTAAAATGGATAGACTTTTGTATGAATACCCTTACATCATGTACACGTTAAATCAGCTAGGGTTTAGGGCGACGGGGAGGGGGGTGGAGGGGGGAGGGGGCAGAGACCCTTCGGGCTCAAGGGGTTAACCGGAATTCCCGAATAATACCCTATACCCAAATACTATCCTCATCGCGTACCCTCACCGTAACCAAATGTAACCTCACTGAATTAAGTACTTTTGGATTCGGTCACGCTATAATAGTTTTGTTTATCTCTAAACCGCCTAAAAACAACCCATCCTGGCAGACGATGTCATCGTATCGTTTCTTCATCCAGAAGAGCCATCGGTCGATCCTAATACTACTGCATCAGCTGCTATTGCATTTGCGGGATGTAGTGCACCAGAACCTTATAATGTTTTTTCTAGAAGGCCATGTCGGTCAGACGCTGAAGTGATGTTCGAAAAGTTTTAGCTTTAAAGGATGGTAAGGCAAATTGTCAATTTAGTAGCTTTTGTCAGCTTAGTAGCTAGCCAGTTTTCAACCAATACCGACAATGTACCCACCCTATTACAGATTTGATTTGCTAAAACTCGAATAGCCCTGTAAGAAAGTGAAATCTGAAGCACTTTATTACTGGACCAGCAGCCACTTGCCACCAATTTCCAAGCCTTCACTGCCGTCCCTTTGTCCTAGTCAAATGG